GCCGCCCCAGCTGCATACGCTGCCCCAGCTGCATACGCCGCCCCAGCTATTCGTGCCGCCCCATTGGGAGTCGCCTACTCTGCCGCCCCAGCCGTCGCCCACCTGACTTTCTCTGGTCTGGGTGTGAATTACGGATGGTAATTCAGTTAAGGAATGAAAACTGTTCATTGGCCGATGCTAACTGTTTGCCCCCATGGTAAAAAAAATCACCGATATTCATCATTTAATTCCATTCTGTACATAAATGTTTTGTATATGATAAAATATTTATTTATCCTTTCAATAAATTTGTGAATTTACCCAGTGACGATTTTATTCATATGCCTGAACCCAGAGGTCTCCAAAACTTTTTCACAAATGTGTCACAAGCTCAAATATTTCTGTACTCGCAGACCGGAATATCAAGGCCAAAATATTTTTGAAAATATGGGCGCCCAGTATGCAAATCTAGGTTACTTGAATACTCAGAAGTGGGGCAGTAATCAGGTAAATTATGATATTCCGAAAAAATTTCTGATATGACCGGTTTAACTTCAATTTCTCCACCAGATATGAAAGTTAATCAGATATATACGTAACAGAATTGTGGTGTAATTACATACCGCGGTGTAAATCAGGCGTTCTTTGTACCTACTTCATTTATTGCATATGTAATTCATAAACGCCTTGATTTTTAGCAAAAAAAAAATCCGAATAAAAATGCACCACACTTAACTCACTGCCATAGTGTTAGAAACATTCCTAGTATCTTGACTCACGTGCAAGATTTCCAGACCTACAAGAAATATTCGTAACTTGCTCGTTAGTAATTGATATAATTTCTCATAGACGACATTCAGCTTCAATTCCACAGACTTTCGAGAAACACAAAAAATACATTGATTCACAGCGGTAATACTAAAAAAATGAATAGTGTAGCATTAAGAATAAATTTTAAACTCCTTTTTGAAAAGGAAACAAATAACAATCGTCTTATAAATTATTATACCTAACCAGCTGATAAACCAAGAGATGAAAGATACATGCCATTTCTGTGAGACGACGGAAATATTCTGGGATCTGAGGCCCTCAAGATGGTTGCCATGTAGATTGCGGTTTCCTCTGGCGTGTGTGACTCTAACGCCGAGTAATGTCTGTTTTGCAACGTTTCTCCGAAACGCTGATGCCCACTTAGAAGACTAAATGCCGTCATAACCCCGAAGACAACAAAAGACAAGACAATGTATAATGTCAGTATTGGCAAAACTCCAGTTAATTTCGGGAGCCAAAGGGAATTGTAGGCTACAAAGTTCCACATTACAGACCGTCAAGTGGGAAGAGTACTTATATAACCACCGCAGATCAAAGCTGAAGATTTAAAAGTACAAAGCTAAAGGCGTGAATGAATTCAGCATAAAATTCGACGCTAAAAATCATGCCGTCAGGGAATATTCTTGAATACGACAGAAAATTTCGCGTTTTACATTAATAAACTGTGTTAACAGATTTAGTTTTAAAACGGCAAAGTCATGAGCATAAAAATATTGCTATTTATAATAAAATAAACCCGTTACACGGAACATTGGCACGGGGTATTTCTTAAAGTAGACTATTCTTTATTTGCATTCCAAAAAAATTAAACTACAATCAATCTTATGCTTGGTCAAAGAAAAATCAGATGCAAGTAGGATATGGAGTTATCACGGCAGCGAGTGCAAAGATGGCGGGCTGTCTTCTGGGTTGTAGCGTCTTGCAGTCTGGTAGACGTTCATCAGCGTTTCAGAGGTACTTTCTGCGTCCATCATCAGTGCCCTGATGACGGAAGCTACTCAGCCTTATAGCCCAGAAAACAGCCATCTTCATCCCCGCAGCCGCGAGAACCCCCCAAAAATTTGATCTGTTCGCAGATCAAATGATTCAAATCAAAAATCTAAAATAAACGTAAGATTAAAATAGTAATTCGTATTGATGATGGCATTTTCGTTACACCATACGCCAGTTATATTTAAAAGGACATAACTGAAGGATTATTACCAAATGGTCTCAAGTAAGTGACGCCATATTCAAAAATACATACACAAATGTGTTCTGTTTGTGTAAGCTTTTATTGCTATTTCTTGCAATCGTATCAACATGAGTCAAATTTCATAAATTGCTCTTATGTTGTTGACATGACTGCATAACAACCAGAGAGTAAAGAATAGATAATCGTAAAAAGAGCGTACGCATTGAATACCAATATGTCCGTTCTGTTACGAATGCAGTCTGGTGGAATGTCTACCAGACTACACGGCGCTACAAAAAAGACAGAAACCTTCCTACTCACCGCTGCGAGAACCTCAAATTCTCCATCATGATCGGGTGACGTTGGCTCTGAAGAGTTCGCCTGTCCCTTTCACCACATACACAGAACTACAGACAGACACTGGCCGTCTTATGATGCAACACGCAGCGCGCCTTGTAAGTCACTGCGCTGTATCCTAGAAAATATATGCGAGGTTAGCACAGCGAATCGTGTCTTGTGCTTCATTTCATAGCAGTTACTAAGTTCTTGTGACAGAAAGCTTGTAGATATTTAAAGGTGTTTTTAAGATTAATGAAGCATGTGGTGTTTCTCGCTGTGAACATGGACGCCGAACACGTGGTTTCCCTAGAGCTCCATCAATCACTGAACGACTTTAGTGTGTGCTGAGCATCCCCCCCCCCCATAATCTTCCCCTACCTTACGTTTTTAAACTTTTAAACCATTTTCCCATAATTATTTCTTTAATCAACATAAGTAGGTGCTTATTTCTGCCTATTTCTGTGTTTATAGTTTTCCATGACGCCTCCCGCAGTCGCATTTTCGATAGTTATCTTAGTTGTATCGATTGAGTTGTATGTGGTCCGTTCTTTTCAGAATAAGGAGATTTTTGGAATTAAAGAGAAGCAGAGGCGAGTGAATATTCTTTAGTTCCACTTAGTTCCTTTGTTGTGTTCTCTTGTTCCGACTCTCTGTTGTCGGTTGCGTTTTGGTTCCTTTGACATTGCCTGCCGAGATAATTTGTAGCGCAAACCTGAATGACCCTTAAAATTTTTAAAAGTCGACACCCATTCATGAGGATATACCTAGACTAAAGAAGCAAAGTACTTGACCGCCATTTTTGTGAAGTTGCCCCCGGGATTAGACATGGATTACGTAGTCGTGAAAGAGTCTGTTACGGCTATTGCCAAGACCAAGGACCAGTTTCTGCAAGGATTGCTTACCCCAGACCTTCAAAGCGAAAGTTAAATGCAATAACGACCTCTTCCAGTCCGGAGGACGTAAATTAGTCTGTGAAATAGAAGGCATATAAAAGGAGGCATTCGCACACTGGAAGCATTATTACACTATTCGCAGTGCAAAAAACATCCAACATACAATGGCATACAAAGTAACGTAAAACTGTTCAAAACTGTTTTACTCGGGCTCGCCAGTGAGATATATCTCACATAATAATCTTAGTTGGTATTCAATAGTTTTATAAATATTCCTAAAGAAAAGGTGGCTTTTACAGAAATGGCACTGGGAAATATTTGGATGACTAGGCTTATGGGGGGTTAAAAATTACAGCTGCTAATTTAAAATAACTGAAATTTAAAAAAACAAACAAAAAAAAAACAGATTTTAAAACGAAGATTTCTGTCTTCTGGGTTGTTGTGATTGATATGACCTCTGAAACGTCGGTAAACTTCTACCATACTACACAGCGCAAGAACCCAGAAGACAGAAATCTTCATACGCACCGCTGTGAAAACCTCAAATCTTACATAGATTTTAAAACTTTAAGTAATTCACGTATTGCATTGTTCTAGAAGATTGATTTATTCTGCGACTAGAGTAAAAATACAAACAGGCTAAATTAAAACAGCCGTTGACAAAATAACACAAAAAACATTTTGGCTTCAGGCGATAATTAATAATTATGGCAGAACGCGTTCAAATAAGACGGTGATTAAAAAAATAACAAGTCTCAAATTTTGTTTCATCTGATTTCAGAGAAAGTCACCCCTTACTACAGGAATACGAACAATACTCGGAAAGACATTAAGACGAAAGAGTAACACTGAACAAAATTTAATTAATTTGCTTTGTATAGATATCTAGGTACCGGTTTTGAGAATTATCTTTCAAATTTCGTATTCCATCATAAATACTAACTCCAGTTCATGTTAGCAACACTAACAGAATTTCAAAAAGAACCCCTGCAGTCCGCTAAAAGACTTTTTATACCGATATGAGAGACCATTAAAGTGATATTTTCAACATTTAAAAAAGCATAAGCTTCGAGTGTCTCATGCAAAACGAGAGCCTCATCTAGAGACTGTATTGCCTGCAGCTTATCGTCCCGGCAGCCCTGGTGGCTGTCGCCAACGCCGGCATCCTGGGAGCCCCCGCCGTAGGCTACGCTGCCGCCCCCGTGGCGATACACGCGCCCGCTATCGGTGCCTCCCATCAGAGTACCTTCCGTACCCTAGACGGTAACTCCGCTGTGTCCCACTACTCGAAGGCCGTGGACTCTGCCTTCTCCAGCGTCCGGAAGTACGACACTCGCATCAGCAACGACGCCGTCGCTCTCGCTCACGCTACTTATGCTGCCCCCGCCGTCGCTTACCCTGCCGCCCCAGCCATAGCTGCACCCCTTGGTGTCGCATATTCTGCCGCCCCTGCAGTCGCTCATCTCACTTTCGACGGATTTGGTGCCCATTATGCTTATTAAACCCATCTTAAGACAACCGGGCAGCGAGGTTTCATAAAAAATCTGACACTTTCATACCCCTTCAGATGTTCCCGTTATTTATATCACCACGACATAATAAAATTTACTGAAGGCAAAACGTGTTTTTAGTAGTTCTGGACATAAATTTCTGAAAACCTATTTGTTATGCCTTGTTTCCTGTTCTCCTGCAATTAAAAACAGCTGATTTGCAATACAAAAATTCATACTACATACTTATAATTCATTTCAGAATAATGCCCGATTTGAAACAGTTCAAAAACATATCAGATATTTTATATACTGGTTAGCTAATTATGATTTCCGTTCTAGGGAGTCATACAAAGAAATACAGAAAAAATGGATTACTACAGATTTAATTCTAGTTTGGAACAGCCCAAAGGATTTAATCTGCTAAATCTCAATAACATTAGCTAATTAACACCTTAACAATCCTATTCAGAGTACCTATATAAAATAAGTAAAATATGTAACATCTACGAAAGTCATTTTCTACAGAACACTACAGTGGGCATTCAAAAAGTCAATTATATTGACTTTCATTGGTAATTTTTCGTACTCGGACATTCTGTAGACATCAAAGTAGACCAAAGAATGTTTTGCTTGCTGCAAGGTATGTCTCCTACGAGCAGACAATCTACTTTTTAAGAATCGCAATGTTCATCACTGTGACAACAGCAATAACGCTCTGCTAATAAAAGCCTATATATGGCACAGGCAGAAAATCACAAATCAGTAATGAGCCTCATTCATAGCAGTAAAATTTCTTGAAGGAGGTGATAAAATATATGGTAGCCCTGAACAGCAGGTCAGAATTAAACCCCAAAGCCTTTGAAAGTTAATATATGGACTGAGCAAGCAAGTTACCACTTATGAACTGTCATAACAGCAATTATATAATAAATAAATTCAAGACACAAGAATTACATTATTATAAAACACAGCAGTAAGCCGGTTATGAAATGAGTTGGTCGTATATAACATCAGACTAGGTCATGGTGACTTAGAGGAAATTGTCTTGTTACAGAAGAAACAGAGTCACGGTTAGCAACCTACAAATGGTCCTTAAAGTAATATAATAATTCAACCTAAAACAAATATATGTCTATATTATGTATACTCTTCACTAAATATTGGATGAAGAGTGATATGGATGGGACACACAGTATGTTTTAAAGTTGAAAAATGAGTACAGAATTACAATGAGAAAACCTGAAAAAGAAGAGCAGACTTGAAAGAACTAAGCATAGATGGGAGAATATTATAATAAATGTTAAAAACAGCATGTGAGAAGGCCAATGGGTTTCAGCTGGCCCAGGATAAGGTCCAATGGTGGCTCTTCTGAACACAATAATAAACATTTAAATTCCATAAGAACGTGGTGAAATTCTTGACCAACTGAGCACAAAGAAGTTCTTCAAGAATGACTGCTTCATGGAGTTCATTCATGATGGATGAAAAGTATGTAGTGCGAAAATCTACTTACATAAGCCACTGCTGACTTTTCAAGGGAACACCATACTTGGGGTAGTTGGACAATGTTTGTAGCAAAGGAGTTCTAAAATTATGAATACCACTTACATCAACAAACCATTGCTCACTGACCTAATAACAGTAAGACACTTAAATCATATTTGTACTGTATTGCCTTACTGACTTCCTGTCCTGACCCCACAAGATTGCCAACAGGAGATCAGAATTCCCGCATGACTCTACTTTCACTCCCTTAGAATCATAAATGAAGTTAACAAGTTGTTCTGTTAGTCACTAAACAAGTCAAATTGTTCTGTGTGCAAATGATCACTATTCCGCCTCACTTAAGTAAAAATGGTTGTGGTTGCCGTAACTCTGGAGGTTAATTCCATATGGCACTGCATAATGTTGTCAGACTGGGAAAATCCCTGATCATATATTCACACACCAATTTTGCAACATAGCTCAAAAGGACAGAAATTTGTGTGTATAGAGTGCAAAAGGTGAATGCATAATGAGTAGGTAATATGCACATATTTTATCTCCCAAATCCTTAATGGACTCTGTTCACGCTTGTTATAAAAGGTGTACAACTACAATGCAGTAAATACATTTCATATTGGAAACTACTGGCCAAGTTAAACTAAAAGTAAAGTTTACCAGTTTTACAAAGACTGTCTCTTTGGAAGTATTTGTAGTAGAATTTGGTTTTTAGGTAAAATGTCTGGATTTTCTATGGGATGAGAAATGTGTAAATGAAATTCAATTGAAAGTATTTTTGCTTCTATCATGTGTAATATCACAAAGGCAGCTTTACCATTTGCTTCTGTATGGGTCTGAAATGTAGCTTACTTTGACAGAAGAATACAAATCATAAAGTGTTCAGGATAATAATAAAATAAGCAATTCTGAATGTTATGTAATGAAATGATTCACACACATCACCTAGTATTATTAGGACAGTGAAGTCTAGAAAGCTGATAAGGCTGGATATGTGGCTAGAATGGAGATAAGGAATTCATACAGAAATTTGATGGGAAATGTACAGCATAATACCTTATTGCTTGTCATCTACCTCTCAGCACGCACTAATCACATACAAGTACCTGATTCTGTAAGTCTGGAATAACACATGAAACCAACTCCATCAATAAATAAGTAAATCTTGTTGTGATGGTTGTACATACCTACAGCATTACTGCCTGGGGCATATTTTCAAAGAGATCAGATGTAGGGCCACTCCTATCTTATTGCACCAAACTTTGACCCTCCCCCACCCAAATTTCCACATGTACAGGGCGGGGCTCACCTCACCCAACTTACTTTCACCACAGGGCACAAAAAACTCTTGAGTATGTTACATCATCAGAACCCTAGACCAAGATGATAATTGAGAATGTGTATGTGGTCTTGAAAGTGTGTTCTGTTTCTCAATGCTACACACAATGACACATTCCCTTGCAGGCAGATGTAACACTCAACAGCAACCAAGATTTCTGCAATGTGGGAAATGAAATTCCACTTAAATGATCATTACTCTGCATAGGGGATTATCTTTATGTGCACAGAAATAACAACTGTGGACAACATTAATATGGAGGAAATAACTCACAGATGTACAAGTGGGCACCTAACATGTCTGAAATACACTCACGAGTTAACAGTTCTTATTACAGGCACTTCAGTGTTGTAGCTGTCCAGGTTTAAGGCTAGCTGAACCAAAGGGCCCAAGATATTGGCAGTAGAATCTAGCTTCAGAAACACAGTGATTTTATTTCATAATTTAAATTATGGACAAAGTTTGAAACAAGTAATTTTACACATAATGTACCATCATCAGACTTTAAATACAATTAGCCTGATTTCAGTTTTGTGGATATGATACTTTTCTGGTTTCTTGAAATATGGTCCTACATGTTGTGAATTAAAATTTTCCAGTTTGGCATACAAACGTATAGTAAACAGAATATGCTATGAGGAACTTATTCTTTTATTGTTATTATGTCAGACTGTATATGTCCTGAATGGCCAATGTAACACCTGGAGCAGTTGTGGCATTTTAATTTCTAAACAAATTCTTATAATTCTGTTTTCATTATCTATGTACAAAGAGGAAGCCAATTCATACTGATAACCACTACTCTGCATAGTTCACCTAAATTTCTTGGTTAACTTTACATCAAAATTGCTTTAGTACATTCAAAATCTAATAAAAATTACTGAGAATCTTAATAAAATATTAGCTGGGATACAAAATTATGTTCATCCAATTTTAATAATTTATACAAAATAAAGCAGTTCTATAATGTATGAAATAATAATTTGACTGTCTGCATTCATAAAATACTTGTAAAAGCTTTTGTTTAAACATCAATGAGTACACAATAGCAGATAAACATCCAGTCTACTTACTGCCTCAAGATAAATCAGCTAAATACAACAGCAATATTAGTGTAGTGAATATTTTACTGTTTATACTTACTTTTTCTGTCAAAACTATATATATATCTATGGTTGTAAAAACAAAATGTTTTCCCCTTTCAGATTAGCAATGAAGTGAAACTACATTTTATTCTGTAGTTGGCAGCTACCTACTAGCAAAATTACATAACCTTACTACCACCACTACTGCTAACACAGCCACCTGCCAGATGGCCCTCTGTATTACCACAATCTCACCCACCATATTGCAGAGATAAAGCCTGTGCTCACTGCATATGACCAACATCCTATCTTATGGTAAATTTCACAGATACTGCAAACTTTTCAAATGGTGTCCATCACTAATGATCTTCAAGTGATCCCATTATACTAACAATGTTTCATGTACCTTTGAAAAATGCTCAGCTACAACCATCTCATTTTCAATTACTAAATTTAAACTATTTTAATGTATATTACAGGCCTAAATTCCAGCATTCAGAATGGACAAACAATCCACAAATAAGATCAAGGCTAAATGTATGGAACTATATGTGAGTAGTTTACTTCAAAGTCCAACTACATTACCAATAGGCACCCATCAGATAAGAGGCTGAGTAGATCCTAGAGTTGGTCTGGACACACTGCAGAAACAGTAATGTATTCAAGAATTTATTTTGGGAGAAAGACATTTCAGAAAGTAGTGTAATAGAACTACACTTCATTTTTTGTTACAATAAATATTTTTGTCTTATCTTCATCAATTTTTAATACAATCTTCCTTTAAAGTTTGTTACACAGCACTGCCATGCCAGCCCACTAAATCCCCCAGCCCCACTACTATATATAGACATGTAGTAACCCAAAACATGTTTGTCAACAGTCATTATAAAGGGAATTCAGATGCTTCAAAACAACACATATTGCAAGCCATGTTATATATTTGTTCATTACAAATTTAAATTTCTCACAAGCATTCATATTTGGGTGACAAACTTTACATTTCTTGCAGAACACTGTCCTCAACAGACCAAGCACTTCATAAATTTGGAATCTCAAACACCTTAAATTATTTTGTGTAAATCTCTGATTATCTGGATTTTCAAAAAATTCCATCACCTGCAGTGTCATGTCTTAGTTTATGAACACAAACAAAGGGAAAAGTACAAATATGAATACAAGTTTCTTACTTTTACTAAACATACCTTCATTTAAAAACAATGCCACAGCCACGTAAGCTGTATATAATTAAAACACTGCTGCATGAAGTCAGGAAAAAAGGAAAATTTATTACAATTTCAATGACTAAAAATAAATACTATCAGTCCTATTATCAACTGCATGTACCTTAAATTCCTGAATAACAAAATATTTGTAAGATGACTATCTTATATCTTAGTACTAGTTAACAAATCTCTAGTTATGAAGGCATTGGTACTAGAGAAAGTGAAGTTATATGCAATATAAGAGATTGAAAATGTCATAAATATAATTTATGTTCAGAGTGAAGCCATGTTAAATCACTGAAATACAAAGACAGGATAAGGATAAAAAACAAGATGTGAACTAAATTAACTTAATATATCATCATACTAAACTTTAATACAAGAATACTGAGAAAGCAATTACGTACATCCATCCGAACAAATCTACAATATAATGTGTAATCATGCCTGATCAAAATTGATGTGTGTGTTTAACTTGTACCCTATCAAGGATGAATCGAAGAAGTAACCTGTACCAGAAATTACAATATGTAAATTTCATTAGTTACAAATTATAAACCAAAATATAAGACTATAGTAATACTTTTTGGGTGTAAACCAAATGTTATATTTAACTCCACAATATTACAAAAAGATGCTTTTACAGATATACTAATGAAGCATTGAAAGTCATATTGTTATTATATTATTACTTTTACACTGAATTAGTGATGTCACCTGATCTTCGGTAATATGCCTTACAAATACGTTAATCTGAACTATGCTCAAAGTATCTCAAAGCACGTCAAGTAGATCACATGCTGAAGCCAAAAAATTTATATTAAACCGTTAAATACTTGTATCAATGTCACACTCATGTAGGTAATAAGGTCATAATAATGGCAGATTCTTAAGAACAGGGTAATAAAATGTGATTACATATGATACCTATTTTCCTACAAACACAATTCCTACAGATTACATTCATGATGTTTCTTTCTACATCAAAAAGATATATTCATGGAGTGCAAAAAGCTACTCTAGTTTCTGGTAGCTTTGCATGGCTATAAAATAGGACAGTATATGAAAATTATAATAACTGAAATTGTATAAGTATAATATTTCTCTGCAATGAAGATTTCATAAAAACCCAAATCTAGAAGACGAATGTGAGGAAAGAACATGAAATTTACCAACACTAAAATGATTAATTCTGAATCAGAAAACTGCAGTTGTATTAAAAGCATGGGCATTAAGGTTTACATGATAATACTGTGGACAAAATGAAAGTATGAAACTGTTATGATGAATACAGTAACAAAGTGAAGAGGACAAGATGTTGAAAAGTGAAGTGTTTGATTACATTCCAAGAACAAGCTTTAAAACAAAGAGAGAGAGAAAGAAAGAAAGAAAGAAAAGAAAGTGTAATGACACAGCAATAACTACACAACATATGGATTACAGGTACCCAAAATGTCAAATCAAATTCACACACAAAAAATATTTAGAAAGACTTTAGGTAAATTACACAACAATAAGTTGTAATGTGCCTGAAAATTCAGAAATATCATAAGGTACAACATGGAATATGTAACAATTCATTAAGCATCTACATTGAAGTGGGTGACCAACAATTCATCTCCCTCAGCTCTGATGGTTTTGCACGGAATGCTTTATTCTGCGTAGGTGAGTCACGACCACCAGTAACAGCAGAAACATCCACCCCAACTTCCACAGACTGATCACCCTTTGAAACTTCGCTGAACATCCGTGACACGAGAGTGGTCATAGACTTATTGCGGCGTACCTCCATTGATGATGAGACTATCTCGTGCTGTGGCCTGGGTTTCTTTATTTCCTTCTTATGCTCCTCCTCCGGTATGGTTACAGAATCCATGGAATCTGACAAACAATCACGTTGCTGTTGCCCTAACAGACCAGATAAAATCCAGCTGCCAGGATATTTATTGGCAGAATCTTGTCCACCAGCGGCATGAATGTTAGCTCTTTCCACGGTGAATGCGCCTGTGAAATACCTATTGTGTACCCTCCTGCGTGTCTGTGGGGATGAGTCGGGGCTATGTGATGGTGAGCCAAGTGGACTAACTGGTAGAGACTTACTTCCACGACGCATAGCTTTATTGAAGCCTTCCCCAGTGGCCACATTTTCATCACCATTTACGCTAAATCCTCGTACTAACGTTGCTCCTGCAATCATCTGATGTGCAACCTGTACAACAGACTTCCCACAAGCTGCACTGTCACCCGTAAAATTATCATCTGTTCCTGCAAGTTTCAGAGGATGGGTTGTTTTCCTGGAGGCAGTTACAACAGATGCTGTCGTTCCTGTAACAATATATCCCATAAAATCTTTCACCTGTGCCTTTCAAAGGGGTATGCCATCTTAAAATTAGGAGAAGCTACAACCTGTACAGCTGCATTGTTTTGTTATGTCTCAAGGCAAAATGTGCCAAAGCGACAGACCTAAGGGATTTACTGAACTTATGAATGAAGACTGTTCACTTTTTATTTTACCATATTTTTGCATGCTGGAGATATTTTCCCCTCATAATATGAAAGTAGTCATATAAAAATGAAGTGCATCAATGATGAAATTTTAAAATATTTATTGATATTTTATCTCCATACAAACTGGTAGTTTCTTCAAACTTGACAAAGAGTTCCTGTTCTGTATCTTGGCTCCCATTCATTTGCATCATACGCCGGCACAATCTTACGTACAAACTGTTAAGTAATGACAACATAGCCATGTGAAGTACAATGGAGGTTATTACCTTCGGAACAAAAGGTTTCCTTTTTATATTCTGATGATGGCAACTAATCAATGAGGAAATAATAAAATGGATATAATTACACCAGTACATACTCTATTTTTACAAATTTTTAAACACATTTTTTCATTCATAACTGTAATCTGATTAATACAAAATACATCTGGGTTTTCTATGTTTTTAACAATTACAGATCAATACTTTCATTTAGTCATTATAGCAGCTTTGATGTCAGATTTCATATTTTGAACTACTGGTAAAAACGTACATGATATTAACAATATGTGGCAGTACAGAGAAAACACTTTGTGAAATATAGAAGAAACAATAGAGTGTACATTTATCACTCACCAGCATGAGTAGAAGAATCCATTTTAGCCTGTGGGATGAATTGACGGCACTGAAACGTATGCTGTGAGAAATCCTGTTTTGATAGTTGTTCTGACTTCTCTAGCAGTTCACTGGCTTGGTGGAAGTTTGTGTTTTTCAGTCGCTGTGTTGTGGTGTCAGTCTTTGGATATCGTATGTAGAAAAAACTGTCATCATGTGAAGGTGGTGAGAAGGTTTCATCAAGGTCATACCTGTTAGCAATAACTCACACATAAGAATCATCAAAAATTTGGTTAGAAATCAAATGTTAGCACAATGTGAAGCCTTGTACAAAAGGTTATTCGCACAACACATTAAAAGTAAGCTGCAAATATCTGTATAGACCTCAGAAACATGTATTCACACTATACACAAGAAATTAAATTTTACAGTATAAAAACCTTAAATCTCATATAACAAAGAATGTTTCCTGATATCAGGCAACTATTTTTAATCATAAAGGGTTATACAATGTAACAAAAATAAATATGTGGGCTGAACAACGCATATCAGTGAACCATACATAGCATGTATTAAGAACTTCTGAAATATAATGTGAAGCTATGACAAAGTGCATATTGTCTACTGGGTAGTATATTAAAGCTGTATTTCTGAACCAATGAACAACCAAATTAACCTCGGATTACAAATCACACTGTTATACGGCACATTCAAATCCAGAACATTCTATTAAACAGACTTATTCACATTCTCCAGGTATTAGCAAAAACATGATTTTTAAACAAGTGTTTATAGCAGAGGTAAATCAAAATTCAAAGTCACACAACACAATTTGTGCATTGTTAGTACATATTATTAGTAGTGTGTGAAGAAGGGAAAACCATAATAGATACCAACCAAAGAAGTGGGTGTATCGCTCCATGTAGTAAAAAGTCGATATAAGTTATTCTGTCTTATAGAACAACACAGATTTTCAAAAACAACAATAATCATATTGATAAGAAGTTTTTAGTAGTATTTTTGGCCCATACCTTCCATAACATTTCCCTTCACAGAATAAAAAAGTTGACATTGGAACCACAGTTCCGGAGAATCTGACATAAACATGTCTCTGTAATGTAATGTAATGTAGTAATTCTTATATACGATAAGTACTTGTGATATTCTAAAACGTTTTTACCAGCACAAAATTATCTAGTCTACGACACACTTCTTCTACAACCAATTCACAGCTCAGCTCTTTCCGCAATAACGAAAGCGGATTGTTGCCGGCAGTAATGTAACACAACAATGCCGAGTAAACAGATAACACAACAATTAGTTTCTTAGGTAACAACAATGCACGCTGGAGTTCATATAAAAGCTAACCAATGTTGTCAGTCCATATTTACAAATTGTTGATATGAATCTTACACACCTTCGTTACGCTTTTTTGCCAAATGACCCTTCCGCATAGACGTATTTACGTCAAAAAGAAACAAATGACAAAATACAAATGTGAACCTTACTGCTATTAATGTTAATACTGCACTCAAATTATATAATGAAACACTATGTTCACTGTATCAACAAGAAACCAAATATAAATGAATATGACTTGGTAATGAAAATTACTTTCAAAACATGTGGAGGGTGCAATATTATGAATGTGAACAGATAGTCAAACTCGTGAGACCTCCGGGTCTTCATTGTAGCAAGCATGAAGATGACTGCTGCATAGAAACTGAGTGACATTTCAGTAATGCTTTCTTCTTCTGTTATCAGGGCAATGAGTAAGTTGCATGTGAGAAAGCAAAGATAAGACACAGGAAGAGACAAGACAAGGTAAAAGCTTGGCTGGATCAATGGATGCAGTGGAGGATTTAGATGACAAATAACAGTGCAAGGAAGCCAATGGCAGAGTCAGAGGATCATGACCTGGATAGGGGTTAATAGAACTTGGAAGTAGACAGAAAAAATACAACATATGGAATGACGATGGGGGAACAACAATAAGAAAATTAAGAAGGGACACCTATAATAAATACAAAAATCAGAATAACACTAAATACAGACAAATAAAAACTGAGGAACTGTGGAAACAGATAGGACATGCAATGGAATAGAAGAATAATCCCTATCAGGGTCCCTAACTGGAGACATGAAAAATTTAGGATAAATAATATGCACCTAAATAGATACCAGTGTGTTCATTTCACTCATATGTTGCAAACTTACTGAAACAACGTATAATATCTTAACCTGCACCAAATTAGTTTATACTATCCTAATGTTATATGTAGTCAAAACTATCCTCATGGCAGGGTGCATTTAAGAACATTTTGCTGAATGCATTATCAGAAAAGAAGACAGGAGAGCAAGTGTGACATCACTGAAGAGTAAAGGAGAAAGAGAAGGGAATCTGACAAAGTTATATAGCAGATAATCCTGCAACCTGGTAATGGAATCAAATGTTCCACTAAAAGTTTAATTTTCTCACCTATCTCCAATCTTGCTTTTCATCCACTGTGGTAGAGAAATGCCAGAGTTGAGGGAACGATCTTGTTCTGTAGACCCCATGGTGTATACTTATTGCAGTGTTCTATTACAAGTAGATACAGTTGTGTAGAGTAGACGGGCAATTTGTTTCAGGAAATGGTGAACTGTTGTTAACTAGGAATATGGCTTCAACATATTGTGGGTCTGGGAATACAAAACAAATTTATATTTCATACAACTACACTAACCTAACAGCTTGTTCTCCACGACGTTGTAACACAAGTGCAACATGCAGAATAGTATCAGGCGTAAAGACGGTGTTATGTATTACTGAACAATTAGAAAATGTTTTAAATGCAGCCCTGGTCAATTCAAGCCTTTGGTTAGACATTCAAGGTCGTATTAAGCAATAAAATCAACCTTTTTGACCTTGCAAACGAAACGTTTTGGCACGATTATATAAAAATGTGCAATAAATATGCAAATGAAGTAAGAGTTTTAACATTAGACATTTTTCGAAACCAAAACCCACACTTATACTTACGTGATTTATTTTGATCAGTGCAAAATTTTCAAAAAAATCCATGGTTCCCATCACCTGCGTTCCACAAATAAAGTCCAACACAAGAAAACCAACATGGCTCCCTTATCCCGTGCCAATACCCACGCCTGCGAATCGTTGACCAGAGAAAATTTACGGTGAGTGTTGATTTTCTGTAGTACATACCAGATGGCACAATCGGCAATGTTTATAGTGTTTTAATTACCTAATAACACTACATTTTTTTCATATTTGCAGTTCATTAATCATACTATCACTTTGTGCTATAGTCTGAGCCACCGACAGCGTCGATAAATAAATGAACAAATAAAATAATAGCGTCGTCAAATATGATTAGGATTATCAAATCAAAGACAACGTGATGGACAAGGAATGTATTACACAAGGGAGAAATATAAAATTTTAGTTCGGAAACCTGACGGGAAGATATTATTGCCTTCTCGAGGTCTCTGCTTCACAGAGTTCATAAGGAATCAGATATTACTGACGCAAAATTCTTAATCACGCGACAAATCAGGTTTACTCCTTTACACTAATGTCTAAGTAATTACTACAAACAAAACAACTTCCCAAATACAAATAAAGAAATATCCCTCTAAAAGACATAGACTGACTTTAGTTGGTAACAATGATTACATACGCGTCAGTAACTTTTAAAAGAGTGTGATCTGATTTTGTTCAATGTTTGTTACCGGTTTCTAATGCTTTAAAAATATGAGAAATATCAACTGTTTTATATTTTTAAGGGAAGTAATAATTGTCACGTACAAAACGGGAATTAACCTTCTTCCCAATATGTAACCCTACGTTCTTCTATTCTATGGTTTTGATCGTTTATATATTTGTATATTATTCAGCAGCGTTTCTCTTTCACTGACTGACCGACAGACTAACTAATTAGTTATTAATAACTAACTACCAGTCTTCTGAAAATATATAATGATTCTGTCTTTCCCGTTTCCTTTCACCCTGTCAGTCTGAGAGTATGACGTAGGTATATAATATAAATGTGACGTCATATATTTTAACTTCTGGAATCTAGAATCTTTATTTAATTAAAGCAAAAATAACTCAGTTTTCTTCCTGCATAAACTTTCACATGTGTGTTAAAACTGTTCTATTGTAGTTCGTATTGTTTATGATTTAATAAAACTGCGTGTAGATTGATCTATAGGCTACGCATGGTTGCAAGAACTGGGCAAGGGTTTCATAAAGATATATGACAAACAAATAATTTAAATACTTCAGGATATTTTATTTTAAGAACTTTCCGCGTGAAGAACAGGTGCAGGCATATGTTAGCTACGTACTTCTGTACCACTGTACTTACAAACACCTGCTTGACCGACTGAGTGAACGAGTCTTGTTGGAAGGGCTTATATTGGTTCATTTTTTCAGCACGTTTTCTATGACTTTCATCACCCTTATCAAAACAGATGGACAATAAAACCTGTGCTGATCTAATTTCCTCCACCACACTCAGGCAAGGAAACAGCTGCCTGCAACTTGAAGGTGCTTATGGATTAAGGAGTCTGCTTTTAGCGGCTAAAAGTGTATTTCCAACAATCTCCAAACGTCAATGCGAGTTTATCAAAAACAAATGCAATGAGAAGTGAGTCGAGAGGGGGAAATGAGACTTGAGGAACACAGTTTCTGTGCAACATATCTTTGGGTGTTATCTTCCAGATTAAGAACTAATGTACATTTTGTTTTCCTACTTAAATTTCTACCTAGCTGAACAAGACGATTAGTTTCCATCACCAACATGCAATTTTTTTAACGATAAGTAGTAGTCTTCGGGGACTGAAAGACGATATAATTCGACGTAATAAGTATTAATTAGTTATATGGCCACATAAACATACTCGAAAATTTACTCCATTTTAATATTCCACCTATGCTTAGATCTCGTAAGTAGTCTTTTCCATTTAAGTTTCTCGAACAAAACTTTCTATATACAGTACAACCCCACTATAACGCGGGTTGCGGGGGACAGGGGTAAACCGGCGTTATTGTGGGAGTGCATCGGAAATATCGGTACAAGTACTGGACGTACTGAACGGTACGTACAGTATTGATAGACTATCGCAATTTAAGAGTATTACATACTTATTCGACTACGTTACGATTGATTTTTACGGAAAAAGTAATAAATAATTAATTTGGCTTGCATTTTAATATACCGTACTAAAATATATTATACTACTGTACTGTATTTTTTATTTACAAACAAACACTATGTACACGCTATTTATACACTATTACATACTTTTTATATATCAAAATTTAAGTGTAAATTTAGCAGTATTTTTGTTATCAGCGTCCGTAAAAAATAATTATGAGAAACTGTATTGTACTTACGTAAAATATTTTTCGTAGGTCACTTGCTTTACACCGCACTCTTATACTGTACAATAATACATATTTTGAATGATAATTATACACTTTGAATACTTTTAGCGCTACTAAAATTATACACTAACACTAAAAGAAAATACTATGCTGCACTATAGGGGACATGAGGTACCCGCGTTATATCCGGAACCGCGGTATAGCGAACCGCGTTATAGAGGGGTTGTACTGTATTTCTCATTATCATGCGTTCTACACGTCCCGACCATCTCATCTTCCGATTTGACAATTCTGATAAAATTTAGTTACAAAGACAAATTATTTCGTATTCTTTTCCAGCCCCTTGTTAGCTACTTCCTCTCCTTCATCCAAATGTTCACCTGCGAACCTTGTTCTCAAATACCTTCAATCTATGTTCCTGCCCTAGTCTAAAAAATGCTCTTTAGTTACTCATAATTACATATTTAAAATTAGTTAAAATATTTAAAAGTTCATAAAATTATCAAACGAGCATGTTCACCGCATCTGACGTCCACGAAGTTAACTATTTCAACATTCGCCCCTTGAAAATTCAGAAGCATTAAAATATGTAACATAACAGAACTAGCGGACTTCGTCGAAGTATGTATATATGTTAGAATTTTAAAGAATGGTTTTAAAACAAATACTGTAAGAACAGGTATTCATTTCAATACGCAAATGTCCCTTGATTAAACTTACCAGAGCTAGCTCTAAAAGTCCCCGTAGACGACATTGACCCCCTCGACACCCCTTCACCCCGTGACCATGTTGCATTATCAGATACAGGCGAAGAAACCCAGATTAAAGTGTTAAAGCTGGGGGTAAAAATCTAGCAATGCAATTAAGGGTGGTTATACACCAGCAGTATAATTTATAGCTGTGTTCTCAACCTTTACCAATCCAGAAACCAGTAAGGGAGAAGCAGGTTTTCCGAGAAAATTCTTACTGACCCTATCATCAGAGAGCTCAACCTGATGATAGAGACAGTAAGAACCTCTGATACGTCGGTAAACTTCTAACAGACCACATGGCGCAACATCCCTGAAGACGGTAATCTTTAATTTTTCTTTTACTTTCATTTTCGTCTCAGTTAAACATGTCCCTAAACTTCCTTATCAAATCTTATAGCTAATTGTATGTACGCACAAAGAGATCTAAAGACTTGCCCTTAATATGAGTTAAATCAACATTTCGAATTTCTGTTTGTCATGTTGGTGTTCCCTTTAGTAGACCACACTCATAATCGTCTGAGAAACCTCAGTGAATAGGCATTCAAAGAGCGAAACCTCTTTAAGGAATTAGTAGTGAGGATTCAACAGAGCATTATATGAGAAATTACATAATTTAAGAACACTTAAAAGCAGCAAACGTATAAATAGGATAAATTGTAAAATTAGCTGAGGTAATTCAAAATCAGCTTTTATCACTCAATTTCATCTGATGACTCCAATTATTCTGTAGAATGGTATAAACATTTCAATACTAATACCGGATCTACACTACAATAACAGTCATATTGAATGCGCTTTTGCAGGGCGGTGGTACATATATATACCTCCTGTTTTGATAACTTTTCTCCATTACTCTTATGGTAGGTAATATCTGCACCTTGATTATGTGCTAAAATACATTCTATGCTTATATTGTGGTGAATGGCCTGATTGAAATTTGTCACGACAAATTTGGGATTAAAATCTGGAATAACTTCGGTGAACTTCAATATAATGTTATTAAAATGTTCATGTGTGCTCCCATGTTCATTTGACAGTACACAGAACTTCATTTGAAGATGACATCATAATATTTTAAACCCGAACAAATTGTTCAATCTGTCGTGGTAATTACAATTATTAAAACAGTTTTTATAGAATAACTACGTGAATCAGAACACATCTATTTATAATTTTATCCATATAACTCTTAACTATGGTAAGAAAGTGGACTTGTCGATTTTCATATAAAATCATACGTCGTACATTGCCTATGAAATACAAAATTAAGTCAGGTATATAAAATTATTTGTCATTAAATATGTTAATCCTTATTTATTCTTCCTGGTTAAAAAAGTGAACACGATAATACGAAATCGTCTTGTAACAAATTATCATTTCTCTTCTATCTTCGTTTCTATTAATCTCAGTTTAGCAGAACCTGCTTCTCTAACGAGGCTGTGCACGGTGAATTATTGTTTTATTACGTGTTTGGGATGCTCACGACTGGATTAATTTCTATCACGCCCCAAGGAAGGGGCAAGAGGGGTTTCAGGGTGGAGCAGCTATCTCGTTCTACTAACCTGAAACACATAAATCAGGCTAAGCAAAGTGTTCGGGTTACGCAGAATTGCAAGTAATCTGAATAGATTTATTGATATACGAACCACGGATTATGATCAAACACTAGAAAATGCGAAGAATATTGTTAGGTTGACAGTCTGTCTACATAACAGCTTTGCAGTCTCCATGTTTATTAAAATCCACTAAATGTTTCGACCTTTAATGGTTATCTTCAGATGGTTCTCTTTGCGTTCGAAACTGACAGATATGGATAAAAATTGTTATGTAGACGGACTGTTAACGTAACGTATTTTGACCTGAGGCTGGTCTACTTCAATGCAATTTCAATTATTCTGTTCAGTCCCTCTAGGAAAACATGATAATGACATTAAAACCTATCACGACTGAAAATATATTCCCATATTCCGCATATATTCAATTACAAAGGCGTTATTAAAGAAATAAATCAAGCACTGGCAAATACTGGTCT